AAGACAGACCAGGTCCACATTGCTTGCGAGAAGATCATGCTCGTCCAGCGCGACCACGGCGACCGCAAGAACCGCAAGCACGCCCGTCTCAAGTACACCATTGACGACATGGGCGTCGACGTCTTCCGCGGCAAGGTCGAGGAGCTCTGGGGACAGAAGTTCGAGAAGGAGAAGCCCTTCGAGTTCAAGTCCAACGTTGACACGTTCGGCTGGCAAAAGGACGAGACAGGACTCAACCACTTCACCTTCTTCATTGAGAACGGCCGCATCGAGGATACTCCCGAGTTCCAGATGAAGACTGGTCTCCGTGAGATTGCCAAGGTCCACAAGGGCGAATTCCGCCTCACGGGTAACCAGCACTTGATTCTCAGCAACGTCGCCGACGAGGACCTCGACTCCATCAAGGACCTCATGAAGAAGTTCAAGCTCGACAACGTCCACTTCTCCGGCATGCGCCTCAGCTCGTCGGCCTGTGTCGCCTTCCCTACTTGCGGTCTCGCCATGGCCGAGTCGGAGCGCTACCTGCCTGTACTGATCACCAAGCTCGAGGACTGCCTCGAGGAGAACGGTCTGCGTCAGGACTCTATCGTCATGCGCATGACAGGATGCCCCAACGGTTGCGCGCGTCCCTGGCTCGCCGAGGTTGCCTTTGTCGGAAAGGCGTACGGCGCGTACAACATGTACCTCGGCGGTGGTTACCACGGCCAGAGACTGAACAAGCTGTACCGCCAGAGCATCAAGGAGGACGAGATCTTGGCCATCATGAAGCCGCTACTCAAGAGATACGCGACTGAGAGAGAGACCGGCGAGAGATTTGGTGACTTCTGCATTCGCGTTGGTGTTATCAAGGGCACCAAGGAGGGTCGGGATTTCCACGAAGGGGTAAGACGAGATCCTAGCTCTCTATTGATATCTTGAGTTGTGATGACTAACATTAATGATAGGTTCCCGAAGAAGAGTCTGACGAGGAATAAGCCTGTCTAATGCTTTCGAGTACTGACGGTTTTACGACGAGATCTGATGTTCGGTGTGCGGACGAGGATTTAAATTTGAGATTTACAAAATGATGGGATTTGCACAAAAAAGAGATGAAAAAAGTTGGATTACTTTTGTAAAATGTACATGGTCTTATATCCGCTTTAGCAGCTTTCAAGCATTACGGGGGCCAGGCGTTGCGATTTGTCGTTTTTACTATACTCTTCTTATTCGATTTATGAAAACTATATTTCAAACTCCTCTCTAGACAGGTTGAAAGGCTGTCTCTTTCGCATATGTCTGTCTGTCTGTGTTTCAATGTATGTTTTCGTAATTGGGTGCAAGCTAAAGTCGAAGACTTGAGACGGCGCAACAAGTCATCGGGTACATCATTTTGCAAGGTACGGTGCTTTGAACAATCATGTGAAATTATCTAGAGACCGTCTACGTATCTCTTTTTATGCCTTTTCTTTTTTTTTTTCTTCTGTCTGTGTTGTGTAAGTTCTATACTCATGCATCCATCTCTCGCAAGATTTGCACTTCAGTACCTCGTACTCCGGCAGGGTATGCTAACAAAAGAGAAAGAAATTAAAATCAATTCTTTGCAACGAAAACGCGTCATTGCTTTCTAATAGCTCATCAAATCTGTAAAACCACGCTGTTAGTTATCAACCGCTTCAAGCCCAACGGTAAGAGTAAATCAATGGGGGGACAAAAACATACCTCTTCCAAAGAGACCGCGCTTGGCCCAGTCCATGGCCAGCAAGATCCGCGTCCTCAAGCTCACGCTCTGCGCAAAGTAGACGGACCGCCACATGTACACAGCCCACAAACCACCCGCGAAATTCCACCCCTGGCCCCAGTCGAAGACGGCCGAGTTGCCAATGTACGCGAGACTGCCCAAGTGGCGGTACTCGAACGCCTTGTACACCACCGAGTCGATGTCGCCGTCGAGGACCATGTTGGCCTTCAGCCCGTCCGACGTGCGCGCCATCTTGTTGAACTTGTGCGCGAGGTACTGGCCCTGCTGGTGGGCGCGCTGCGCCGTGGCGGGGAGGGACGTGAGCTTGGAGTCGATCTGCTTGAGGAGCTCCCTGAGCTCGCCGAAGCCGAGGGTGCCGGACTGGTCCTTGTCGAACTGCTCAAAGAGCTTGTCGAGGCGCTTCAGGTGGCCGACGGCCTGGGGGAAGCGGCGCTTCACGTCGTTGGCGACCTCGCACCAGTCGCTGAAGTGGAGCTCGAGGGTCTCGGGGTCCTTGCCGTGCTTGAAGGCGAGGCCGCGGCAGAAGGTGATGATGTGGTCGGCCACGTTGTTTTGGACTGTCGAGCAGTCGCCGATGGCGTAGACGTCGCCGAGGGGGGTTCCGTTTAGGCGGAGGTGGGTGTCCGTCTCGAGGGCGTGGCGGTTCGTCTGCGAGGGGCCGAGCTTGGAGGAGAGGCGCTTGCAGAGGTCGGCTTGGGCGACGCCCGTTGACCAGAGGCAGAAGCCCATGGGAAGTTCCTTGGTGAGGAGGGATCCGTCGGGCTGCTTTTGGGTGAAGGTGATCTTGTCCGGGTGGACCTCCTTGACGCGGGAGTTTGTGAGAATGTCAACCTGGTCGCGGGCGAAGTGCTCCTCCGCGTACTTGGAGAGAGTCTCGTCGTAGGTGTTGAGGATGTGGCTGCGGCTCTGAATCAGGTGGACGGAGATCTCGTTGCGGAGGAGCTTGGGGAAGTGAAGTGTCAGGTCCTCGTTGAGCATGTCAAACAGCTCGGCCGCGAACTCGACACCCGTGGGACCGCCACCGCTGACGACAAAGGACAAGAGACGCTTGCGCTCCTCGTCGGCGGTCGTCGGCAGGCAGGCTTGTTCGAGGTTGTGCATGACTTGGTTTCTAACCTTGCGCGCATCGCTGATGTCCTTGAGGAAGTGGGCGTTCTCCAGTCCCTTGACGCCGTGGGGGTTCGTGGTAGATCCAACGGCGATGACCAGCTTATCGTAGGGGACATAGAATCGTGTTTCGTTGCCAAAGGCGTCGGGTTGAGAGCACTCAATCAGCTTGTGGGAGAACTCGACGTCCTCGGCCTTGGCGCGGATGAAGTGACCGTGAACGCGGGCGAGGATTCGGCGGACGGGTTCGACCAGTGATCTCAGTTCCAGGGTTCCAACAGTGGCAGAGGGCAGCATGGGCGTGAACAAGAAGTAGTTTGTCGGGGACACAACAGTAACGTGGTATTCATCCGGGTTGAGCTCCTTGAGTAGAGCCACTCCGCCCCATCCGCCGCCGAGAATAACAAGCTTGGGCTTCTCCTTTGCGCTCTTCATGTGTTCGTTGTCCAGGTCGTCAATCAGCACCTCTGCGATGGGCAGGTTCTTTGGTCCGCCTCGCTTGGGGCTCAGTGCCAGCTCAGATACCTCGATTTCGTTCTGGTCCGGGTGTTCCTTGTAAGTGGAGGCATCGTAGATGAAGAAGCCAACCACGCCGAGGCCGACAAAGATGATGCCGCCGCCGAGCCATGCGGCGCTGGCGTACGCGAAGCGGAGGAGTCGTGACCTTTGTTTCGGAGTAGGGGCCGGCGGCGGCGCGCCGGAGACTGATCGGATGGCGGTGCCTTTGGGCAGACCGTGAGCGTTGAAGAAGAAGTTGGCGAGAGGCGTGGTGGGAGGTGTTGTCCGGGATCGCTGGGGTGGAGGGCTAATAAAGGCGCGCCTTTGCGCGAGGGCGGCGACCTGTTGCTTGCATATCGGCGTAGGTTTGAACAAGCTGATGGGTGATGTGTGAGAAACGGCGCGAGGTATGCGCCTCAGCGCGGATGTGGTGGGAGGCATTTAATTATCGCAGATTAGTCTGGTGTTTTTTTCGTCTGACGTCGTGATAGAGTAAAGGTAGGATCTAGCAGTATGGAGATGTCATGTCGAAACGAGTGAATGGGAGCAAGCAGAGAGCTCTAGAGATGTGTCGCGATGTATCAATTGCAAAGAAGCAGCAAGAGACAGAGGTAACCAGAGAGAGTTGAGGTTGTTGGATTTTTCCAAGAAAGAGAAAATCAAGGTCGTAATGGTCACGAAAATGAAAAGGTTCCTAGGGGCTGGCGGGCATAGCTCCCTGGACGTATGCGTAATGATGCTTGTACTAAGGTACTGTTCGCGCCAGAACCGTCAAATCCGAGGAAGCTAAGGTACCTTACACCGTACTACGTAGCTACGTAGACGGGAGGACGTACCTTGTGCCGACAGCTCCAGCAAGTACGTCATTGTTCGGTTAAGCCGAAGGTTGCCTCCCATGCAATTACACCAGATAGGCCAGAATAATCTCCAAGGTGTCTTGCTCTACTTGTCAACGGATAGACTGACCACTAACCTTTTGGACGAGTTCTCTGATGCATCACGCGAGCAGGCAAGAAAAAAAAATTCTTTACAAAAAAGCAGCATCCGACCGCATTATCGCCGTCACCGACGACGAATCTCGGACTTTCGTCCCAACACCTCAGTTCCGTTGTCGGCGCCGCGATCTCACGGCCGTCCGAGCTGATAAGATCCTTTTAAAGAGGACCAACTAAAAAAGGGTCCTTTCTCGGCCTGAAATCTGAATACTCGTCTAGCGAGAAACTGTGATCTCAGTCAGCGGCGTCCAAAGACCCCCTGCCGCGGGAGCCGTACGTCTCCACCACCATGTCCACTTCTCGGTGTCTCGTTCGGCCAATTTGTAGCCGCATTTGGAGCCAATGACGAGAATCGCAGCCGTGAATCCGGTATCCGTCCAGAGTGCCAGAGTGCGAACAAGGCGAGCCGCGAGAGACATATATGCGAGGCAATGGATCTTCCAGGCTGTCTGGCAGGCGAACATGCGGCCTTTTCCAGAGGGACGGGTTCCAGCCCTTGAGGACCCTCAAATCTCATGAATCAAGCAGCCTTACTCCATGGCATTACGGTGCACTTTTGCAATAGGATCTTTCCTGTTGCCACTTGAGCACTCATCGATTTTGCTACAGAGGCAGGCTCGGCGCAACTCGGCCGGGTTATACAAGTATATATATGCCTACGGCTAGCATCGGAAGTACTTCTTTTCAACCCAGCGATCCTCAATATCTGCGAGCATGTTGCACAGAACAATAGTGATACCAGGAAACACCTTTGCAAGACGGTGTACACCCAGTCTTCCGGCAGCATAGCACGCCAGCACAATCTTGTCCTGGGCAACGCCGTGATCGACGAGCACTTGCACAGCCATGAGTGCGGCGCCTCCGCTGGCCATCTGCGTGTCAATCAACAACACCGACTCGTGAGAGTCAATGTTATCCGGGAGCTTGAGATAATGCAGCTCGGGCTCTCCCGTCCGGACGTTGGACTGGATCAGGATTCTGCCTGTCCGCATGTCGGGGACGACCCTCTTCAAGGCCGTCTCAAAGGCGGCACCGCCACGAAGGACCAGCACCGCACTTACATCGCCCGTAGCTTGGAGTCCGTTGTACTTGTATCCTTGCGGCGTGGCAATGGTCTTTTCTCTGAACTGGACATTGTTGAGTGCCCTGTGGTTGTTAGCCCGTCATTCAGACGTTCACCCAGCAGGCAATCTACTCACTGCTCGATCAGAAGACACGCGAGGCGGTCAAAGTAGAAGATAAAGTCTTCCGCGGAGGTGTCGATATCCTGGATGATGGTGCTCATGCCTCTCAGTTGCGGTGACTGGTCGAGAATCACGACTCTGTCAGACAGAGGGTCACTGGCAGCAGCCAACTCCAACTGCGTGAGTGCTGCCCGGTGGTGGGTTGACTTTTCGATCAACTTGCGCTCAATGTACTGAACAACCATGGCTAGACTAGGTATTAGTTATGAAGCTGTACTGACATGATGATATGCTTACCCATAGCTACGCGGTTCTCGATACCTCTCGGCACGATGATGTCTACTTGCGATCAGTCTCTACGAAGCATCTGAAGCGGCTCGGCTAGTTTACCTGCGACTTTGCGCTGCGGCTCGACGAACTGGACACAGACATGTTAGGAAAGCCCAACACGATTTGATGATGGAGCTCTTTACTTTTTCAAAGTTTGGTTTCACAAACTTGAACCACTGCTTCATGATACCATCTACGTCACGGCCACGCTCCTTGACGTCTCTCAACACTTTACGTTGCAAGGTCAGCTGTGCACTAAGTACGTCACATCCCGGGCTGCCTGCGACTTACCTCTCCGTGACAAACACGTATCGGCATCCGCCTCGCAGAATATCTGAGCAACAGTCAGAAGTTGATCGCGGTTCGATTTGACGGGATTGAAATACCCTCATATCCAGAAGATCAATAATACGGGGGTCATGGAGGGCAAAGATTCCTTCCAGGATGATGACGTGAGGTGAGTAGATGGTTGTGGTATTGTCCAACCTTTGATGCTTAGAGAAGGAGTAAATGGGAATTTCAGCCCGTTTTCTAAAACCAATTATTATCATGATATAAACATTGATGTCTGAAATGCTCGCCTTCAGACTAGAAGAAGAGTTTCATGAAGCAAATTAGAAAGCGAAGATGTTACAAGACTTACCCAGCCTTCAGATCGCGCAAACATTGTACAAGTACGTTAAAGTCAATTGCCTGAATTCGGTCAACATGCATGCCAGCAGTACTATCGGCATATATCTTACATCCGGCGCGTCAAAGTCAAAGTCGTTGTCAAAAGCCCTTTTTGACTCCTCAGGACTCAGGGGGTTGTAGAAAGAGTCCTATATTCAGATCGAGTCAGGGGAGGGGCCATCGCCGCAAGCCGCCGGTTGGCGGGGTAAATGCACACATACCATGGACAAAATCACCACCCAGGGCAGATTCAGCTTCCTCACAATGGCGTGCGACAGAGTCGACTTTCCAGAGCCGGAACTGCCAGCAATACCAATGATGCTGACATCTGCCCACGGTGGTGAGTAGTGAGTCCGCCGCTGGATCGTCACATGAGACTCGGTGCCGCTGTGGTTGTCTGCCATTCTTTGAGCTGAGAGGCGGAGGTCGCCGACGTCGATGCGCGGGGCAGGCTGGTGGTGGTTTATCGGGTAGCTACAGCTTTATCCTCGGATTCTGCAGCGAAGTGAGATAGGCCGGTGGACAGAACAACCAACGACCTGAGGAACAGAGACTGCAGGTGTCGACGGCTTTGATGTCTGCTCCCTTCGCAATGGAAGGGGGGAAGAAGCAGAGATGAAATCCGAGGATATAAAAATGAAAACACTGGCTAAAAGGCGACTTCCAGGGTCCAGTCCCCAAAGATAAGCACTGAGGGGGATGGGTGCTTGACTTTGACAACCTAAGCCCGGTGTATGGTGGAGCTGGCCGGGCTAGGTCTGATGTTGAAGGTAACCGAATGGAAGGTACCTGCCACAAAGCTTGCTGATCAGACGGGAGCCACGAGAGGGGAAGTTGCGTTTTGCTGTTTCTATAGGGAAGGTGGACTGTACATCTTGGAAATGTTAGAGACAAGTTAAAACAGCCTGATCAAAAGAGAGAGGCTGTGCTCGCGTGCTATCTTTCCTCAAAGCATCAAGTCCGGTTCTCCAACGGAACATCTCTTGTAGAAGTGAACGATCCAATAGCGGGCTGGGCTCACACAGGTGGGCGCACAAATACACAGGGTCCAGATGACCGCAGCTGTGCCTACGCAGCACAGCAGCCCGCAGGCACGATGCGTAGTTGCGGTTCATCACTTCGTACAGGTAAGGGCTGTCTGTCAGGTGGTATTAGCTCTGGTACCTGCCTCTCTTGTGCTTCTGGTGGGTCGCGCCCTGTGTTTTTTTTTTTGCCCTGTTCAACCCCAGTTGTGGCCCCCCGGGCTGCGTGGCTGCTCTCAGCGCCTTACCTGCCTTACCTTGAAAGTAAGGTACCTTGCCTTGGGTAGAGAGGGCATGTGCCTCGGATTACCTAATTATGGCTGCCCCACGCCAGGCGGTCCGGCTGATCCTGCGATTGGCCCTCTGCAGCCGCAAACTCTGGAACCAAATAAAGCTCCGCTCCAGCCTCTTTCTCTTTGTTCTGACGTTTCTTCCTTCTTCCACATCCAATCCCAGTTCTTCCTCAGCATCTTTTTCTTTCAAAGACTTCCTTCGCGTAACAAAACGAACGGGAGCTCGACTGGCCACTCAAATGTGACGACGGCCCAGCCCAGAGCCTGTCTGATCCTGCCTTGCTTTCCCTGCATTTGCGCAGTTCCCATCGCATGTCAGGACTGCCGGACATCAACGACCCAACAGCCATAGCAGTTTGGAATAGAGCTGCTGCGCGTCTCGTGCGGGAGACGTTGGAGAGAATCATGGTCCGTTGAGCTCCCCGTGTGCCAGTGTGCCAGTGTGTACATCCATGCTGGCCACGCCGTTTTGGTTGTCTTTTACAGCTAGCTAAGATGTCATCCAGACTTCGTCTGCGTCGACTGCTACACCCATGAAGCATGCCTTCGAGAGGCGTGTTCAGGACGTCAAGTCGCCCAAAAGGTAAGCTCCTCTCTCTCTTCTCGTTATCTTCCACGTCGAAGCCCGGCGCTAGCTCCGAAGCTACGTCTGGCGCTTCCCCCCTCCCCTCCCAGCTCACATGATGATCAACTATCAAATGGGAATCTCTCCTAGCAATTACCATGCGGAGAACTCGATATAAAATAACCCTGACACTTTTGCTGTTTTGCACATTTTTACGTTGTTCAAATTACAGTCAAGAGGACATCTGTGCTAACATGGACTCTCAGCGACATCAACGCCCTGATCCTCGATTACTTGACGATGGAAGGCTATCCTAACGCTGCCGCAAAATTCAGCAAGGAAGCCAACCTCCAACCCCACCAAGTCGACGAGACGATCAAGGTCCGCCAGCAGATTCAAAAGTCCATTCATACTGGAAGCATTCAGTACGCCATTGAGGCTCTGAATGACTTTGACTCAGAGGTTAGTTGTTTACTCTCCGCAACATTAAACCCCAGTCGCAGTGATTAGACATCGAGTTATCATGCACCACTCATAGCACCTTCGGGACACTTTGATGAGGAACAACCACTTTTTGATGAGCTTTCGCCTTATACACTACTTGTCAGCATGTTTCTGCTTTGTACACATGTCCTAACAAGTCATCTAGATCCTGGACCGCGATCCAACCTTGCACTTCGCGCTGCTTCGCCTCCAACTTGTGGAGCTCATTCGGGCGTGCACAAACACACCTGGCGGGGATATCACTCCTGCCTTGTCATTCGCCACGAACCATCTTGGACCACGTGCACCGACCGACTCGCGCTTCCTCAAAGACCTGGAAGAGACGATGGCGCTGTTGGTGTTCCCGCACAACGATCTCGAGCCGCAGTTGGCAGCCATTTTGCATCCAGACCTGAGACGGGATGTTGCAGATGATGTCAACAAGGCCATCTTGCAGCGTCAATCGGAGCGTAGGGAAGCCGCGATCCGACAGCTGGTCAAGATGAGGGCTTGGGCTGAGTCTGCTGCGAGAGCGGAGAAGAAGCCCCTCCCTGAGAGAATTAGTCTCGGCTTGAATGGAGACGAGAGTGACGGGCACGACCCAATGATGCTCTCGTAGAGCAACAGTCTTGAGGGCTACAGCAGCGACAAGGAGAATTATGATCCACTGCAAGAGGATTCGTTGAATGAGGGTAATGGGCGAGAAACAAACGATCTTGATCGGTATCTCATTCACAGACCGATTACCTCCCAGGTCGAGGAATAGAATCGCATCCTGGGAGCGGAGAGTTATCACGATGGCGTGGCCCATGTCGCTGACGATGCTAAAGACCGCCGTTTGGTTGAGTTGATCATGGAATATTATGAAGGGGAACATGATGGCTAGGGAATAGCGCATGGAGTTAAGAGCAAGCAGGGTTTGACTTTGGGATACGGGCCAGGATTGGCAAATCTTGGAGGCGTTACATCATTCATTCGGTTACGACTGAATGAGGGATTATGGTACATACATTTTTAATGGTTCACGACATCGGGTCAACAGATGACCGATAAAGGAATAGAAGCCATCACGGCAATTACGAACTCTATACTATACCCCTCTCGTGAAATGTTCCGTGAGAAAATGGCCGGCCGTGTCTGGTCTCTTTGTGACTATCAATAACCCATAATATACCTAGGTACCTTCGCAGTAGAATCTATCTTACCGCAAGGTAGATGGAATGGAGGTCATGGTACGAGTGGAGACTTTCGAGCCAATCACGGTTGGAGAAAGTCCGATTACAGCTCAGCATACTGAGTTTCCCGTATGTTCATCGAGGAACCCAGCTTCAATATCAAAGTCACGTTGAAATCCGGTTATGTTTCAATTTTTTATTGCTTTCTTTACCAAAACCCCTCTCCTCATCAGGTCTCAGGTCTACCATGGGGTACAAACGGTATTTTGAAAGTTTTATATACAAGTGATACTCCGTACAACAATATCGCTCCCACTCTGTCCCTCTCTACTTGGTCCGAATGTGCTTAAGCTTCTTGGGCGAGTACAAAAAGTTGTTGGCGTACGCCTTGGGCTTGATCCGCCTCGACTGCGGCTCCTGGACAAAGTACTCGTACCCTTGCTTCTCTGCAAAGTGGATGGCGTCCTCCTTGGACTTGAAGTTGAGTTTGGTGCCCTGCATCATGTCGGCCGACGACTGCCAGCCCATGAGCGGGTTCTCCCAGCGGTGGCCCTTGGGGAGGATGTCCCAGTCCATGCGCCAGTGGTGGCCTTGCCAGTTGCCTGATTGCGTTGCGGGCTTGGATTCCTGGTAGATGCTGTGAGGGTTTCCGTCGTTAGCTTTTGCGTTTTTCTTTTCTTTTCTGTCTTTCCCTGTCGTCTGAGATAAAGGCTATGCGTACCGGACTGTGCGAGCCTGGAGCTCCATGGGGGCACCGGAGATGACGGCGGCTTGGATGAAGGGGACGTCTTCGCTGCCGTTTTGGAGCTTCTTGGGGGTCGGGGTGAAGGTCCTGCGAGAACACAACCCAATTAGCACTTTGTTATGTTTGCCCAACCCAATTGCAAACGCATGCAATAATTCCTCCCAAGAGCTTTGCGTCCTTACGAGGTGGCCTTATCGGCGGCGATGCTGTAGTCGGGCTCGTTCTGCTCGGTCGAGGGGGCCACGGCGGCGGGCTGCTGTGTCGTGGTGCCGGTCGTGAGCTGGCTCTCGAATCGGCGAGCGGTTACGGGCGCGGAGACGGAAGCTCGGAAGGGAGCGGCGCTCCGCAGCAGGCGAGCTGCGTTGTAGGCGCGGAGGGATGCCATTGCGACGTGTGGGAGATGGGTGTTGGCTTCCCTTCAATTGTCGTCGTGGGACGAATTGGGTAGTCTGGGAATGCGATAATGGGTGGTGGTTGATGGTACGGCACTGGACGAGGCGGAAGGGCCTTGCCTTGCTTGGGGGGTGGCCCGGATTGGGGCGCGCTGATTGGTCGCCGCAAGAACCTTGACCCGAAAGAAACGAGTGCTTTTCGTTCAAACCTCACTTTCGGCAAACGGAGCGTCACCCTCGTCTATCATAGCCATCAGCCTTCCTCCCCTCCACGTCGAAATCGATAAAGTCAATTGATCCGCTCAATTGACCGTTTGCGCCGAGCGACCCTCCCGATTCTTCGATACCCCAAAGTCACCATGAGCTTCGTCCCCCGCCGCGGTCTCTCGACCCTCATCCCCCCCAAGGTGCGCTCATCTCCCTCTGTCCGGCCGACGACCGGCAGCTCTGCTATCGAACCAGGAGAAGTATGCTGACATTGATGCATACAGGTCGCCTCTCCCAAGGTACGATTATGATCCCGACTCACGTTTTTTTTCTGTTTTTGTGATGGATGCGAGGTTTGGATGGGAAAAGGTTACCCGGTGAATTCGGAGGTTCGGGCGCGGGATACGGAGGAGCGACAAGGACGGAGCTACTCGGAGCTACGGATTTTCTCAATAACAACATCAACAACGAGATGCAATACGGATCACAGGAAAAAAGGGCTAACATGACGAACACGGACAG